GCCCCACCCCACCCCACCCCACCCCACCCTCTTCCAAACTACATGCACAACTACAACAACTACACACAACTCATTTACCAATGATACAGGAGAATTAACAACACTAATTTACCTAAAAAGTCAAATAACTCCTTCAATTTTTCAGCTACCCTCAACACCATTTTGTGCTTGTTGTTGTGGCTTAATTTTCCTAGGTCTACCTCTTGGCCTTCCTGTCTTTGAAACAAGAGGTGGTGGTGCAATAGAAGCTGCTGTTGGCTTTGGTTTTTTAGGAATAGGTGGTGCATTTGGATCTTTTCTTGGTCTTCCTCTGCCACGTTTAGGTGGAACATCTGGACCAGGTTTAATGTAATTGTTTTTGAGGAAAATCAACTCACCATTTTGCTTCATTTTGTCTAAATAGAAAGTGAGTAACTTTGAGTGACCTTGATCTAAGTTTCCATATTTGGATTCAATGTACTTTGACATTGATGACTTGTTTGAGCCTCCTTCTTGATTTAAGGCTTCAAGGGCTTCATAAATCATCTGATAATCCAAATTAAATAAAAATTAAATAATTGAGTTTTAAAGATTTTTTCTTTTAAAAAGAAAAAATAAAGTTTAGATCTGTAAAAAAAAAAAGTATGGTTGGCCATCATGTGCTAAAGTAGGAACTATTGAAGCACCAAAAAGGAAAAAGGTGCTAGACCAAAGTAACTTATGTCTACTCTTTAAACTACTATACTATTTATTTTTTTACTTTTTTTTGGGTCTGGTGATTAATTTGTAGAACAACAGTTTCAATACTATCAAGCAGAAAAATAACAATTTGAAAATCTGAAATTTAGAGAAAAAAATTAAACTTCCCATAATTAGTGGCTTTATAAAAGCTAGTAAAAATTTGCAAATTTTCAATCACAATGAGGGTGACATAAAAAGAATTAATTTTCCAAGTGGTTTGAAGTCTTGAATTTTTTATTTTTTTTTGTAACTAAGAAAAACCCATCAGAAATATGTGCAGAGAGATAAAAATTTGAGAAAAGATAGAAAAATAGAGGATGATTTGAACTAAAAGTGGTGCAAAAAAGTGAAATGAGGGTTAAAAAGAACTCTTTTAAAAGATCCAAGCATCTCCTCTTTTTTTTGCTAATAAGTATTTATAAAGCTTGAACTTTTCGACTATAACTAAGAAAACCCATCTGAAATACGTAAAAAAGAATCAAGGTTTGAGAACAGAAAGAAATTTAGAGGATAATTTGAACCAAAAATGGTGCAAAAAAGGGAAATGAAAGTTAAAGAACACTCTTTTTTCTTTTTTTCTTTTTCGGAAATAAAAAAAATACAAGTACTTCCAAAGCTTGAATTTTTCATTAATAACTAAGAAAACCCACCTGGAATATGGGGGAAAGAATCAAAATTTGAGAAAAGATAGAAACTTGGAGGATAATTTGAACTCCAAATGGTGCAAAAAAGCGAAATGAAAGTTAAAGAACACTCTTTTTTTTTTAAGAAAAAAAAAACAAGTACTTCCAAAGCTTGAATCTTTCTACTAAACTAAGAAAACCCATCTGAAATAAGTGAAAAAAACAGATCAAATTTTGAGAAAAAAAAATAGAGCAGTAGAGGATGATCTTGAGCTCAAAAGGTAAAAGAAGCAAAAGAATGAAAAAAGGAGGGTGAGAAGGGCAGAAAGGGAATTTGAAGTAAATGTTTTACCTCAGGATATTCAGGGTGTGATGATGGAGTCTTGTTGAACATTTCAGTCTCCATTGAAACTTGCAGAGACACTGTGGGTGTGTGAGAAGAAAAAGAAGAGAAGAGAAGCTTTGAGAAGTACACAAAAAGAGGGAGGGCAGAGTCAGCCTCAAAAGCACAGTAATTTTTTTTTTTTAAAGTACTCATCAGTTCTGAGTCGTCTGACTCATCAAACCTCAGGTTGGGTTAGTTTGGACTTGGAATCAAAGACAATAACAGCAAGAAAAGTAGGTACGGGTGTGGATGAATCAATAGTTTTTGTTTAGATTTTATATTTTTGTTTAAATTTTTTTATAGATGGCTATTACTATTTCGAGTTCTTATTTTATTTTATTGTTATTCTTATTTGTTGCAATTATTTTTTTCCAGTCGTTCTCTAGCCGAGGGTCTATCGAAAATAATAGACTCACTACTTTTCCAGGTATAGGAATAAAGCTGCATACATTTTACCTTCCTCAGATACCATTTGTGAGAAACTATTGGATTTATTGTTGTTGTCGTATTAAAAAAATTATAAAATATATATAAAATTTTAGTTACGAATTTACTAACTAAACAAGCAATGGGTTCGATGATAATTTCGAAACCCATGAGTTTTAACAAACTTCATATTAGGTTAGTTGGGACTTGGGAGTCAAGACAATAACGCAGCTAAATCTTAAAAGTACCTTTTGGGGAGGCTAGTATATTTACGCAAATCTTATTCTTATGTTAAAAAAATAAAAAGATTGTTTCCAAAAAATTATTGGCTCAAGAGAAAAAATAGAAACAAGAAAATATCATTAATTAGGAGTCAAGAAAAAGGTTGAAATTTCTCGGGGCAAAGAAAGAGTTTACAAATAAGTAAAATTAGTTCTTGACTTTAGTAAAGCAGTCTTTATACAATACTAATATAATTATTCCATCACATAGTAATTTATATATTATTATTATTTGCTGACTATACATAACAAACTAATAGCAACAATAACAACCTCAGTATAATTTTACGAGTAAGGCTTAGGGAGAATAGTATTCTCGAAGACCTTACTCCTAACTTTGAGGATAGAGAGGTTGTTTTCGATAGCCCCCGACTCAAAGAAAGAAAAAGAAAGCAATAGAAACAAGCAATACCGACAACAAGATAGGAAGAAAACAAGCAGTAAGAATAACATGATAATATGAAAACAAGCAGTAACAATAACAAGATAATAAGAGAACAAACAGTATCAACAGCAATATAAGAAAACATGTAGTAATCAAGACTATCAATACCTAATACAAGGCTGACTACCACTACTACCGGTACGGGAAAGATATACACTCGACTACCAACTAACATTCTATCCTAATCCTGAACTTCCATATCTTCCTATCAAGTGTCATGTTCTCAGTGAGCTGAAACAACACCAAGTCCTACCTATTTACCTCTCCCTAGTACTTCTTTAGCCTACCTATGCCCCTCTTCCGACCACCCAAAGCCAACCTCTCACACCTCCTCATCGAGCATCTATGTTTCTCTTCTTCACATGCCCAAACCACCCAAGCCTTGTTTCTCGCATCTTGTCCTCCACCGAGGCTACTCCTACCCTGTCTCGAATATCTTCATTTCTAATTTTATCCATCCTGGTATGTCCACACATTCATCTCAACATCCTCATTTTCGCTACTTTTGGCTTATGGACATGAGAGTTTTTGACTAGCCAACACTCAACTTCATACAACATGGTAGGTCTGACAACCACTCTCTAAAACTTATCCTTAAGTTTAGGTGGCACATTCTTATCACATAAAATACCATATGCAAGTCTCCATTTCATCTATCCCGCTCAAATACGATGAGTGACATCATCGTCAATCTCTTAATTTCCTTGGATAATAGACCAAGGTACTTGAAACTAGCTCTCTTATGGATGACTTGTGTATCAAGCCTCACGTCTACGTTCGCACCCTCAGTTTTGTCACTGAATCTGCACTCCAATTGCTCAGTCTTGGTCCTACTCAACTTGAAACCTTTAGACTCCAAGGTTTGTCTCCAAACCTCCAATATCGCATTAACTATGCCTCGCGTCTCGTCAATCAGAACAATATTATCCACAAATAACATAAACCATGACACATTCCCTTGAATGTGGCACGCCAGTGTGTCCAACGCCAATGCAATTAAGAATGGGCTAAGAGCCGACCCCTGGTGAGACCCCATCATAACTGGAAAGTGGTATGAATCCCCCACTCCCTCCCCCGCGATCCTCACTGGTATTTTGGCTCCATCATACATGTCGTTAATTACCCTAGTGTTAGTTTATATGAGTCCACCGAACTGTAGAGTACCTGGTCCTCTATGAGATAATGTTGAGAATGCTAATAAAACTGAAAGTAAAGAAGGCAAGGGATTTTTATGTGGAAAAATCCCACATAAGGGGATAAAAAAATCACGACCTACACTTGTAGGCTTTTAACTTCCCTAACTTGCAACTATTACAAGCGACTTTGCAATGACCCTATTACAAAGACTTCAACTAACTTGTGATGCTCTTTCCATAAGCCACTTTATAACTCTCCTAGTTACAAAGGCTTTAAACTTATGACTAATCCTAGTCACAACATAAACTCGAAAGTTTACGAATTTTTGGTTTTTCCTATGACAAAGCTTCTAAGAAAGCAAAATAGGAAATACAATGAAGAACAGATAACAAGATTATATCTCAACTACGGATATACATAAGCTCATTGTGAAACTGATCCTTAGTGGAGTTGTCTTCTTGTTCTTGACACACCAGTAACTTCAATGCTGGATGAACACTGTTATACTTGAGAAAATATCACTGAATGCACAAAAGATGTTGTGCCTTGCACCAAGTTATTGTATCACAAAAGACATCACAGTAGATAGTGATGTCAATTCTTGGTACACGCTTCTTCCCAATGAGAAGTGACTGTTGCGCTGTCTACACAGTCACTTCTGTATAGTTGCGTTCCAGCTGTATAGTTGACTTGTACTTCTGCCAGAGAATACTAAGGGACCAGGTCCCAGTTGTGTTCCTCTTTTGTAATAGTTGCGAGATAGTCACTTTCTGCTGTTACGTTCTAGCTGTACAGTTGACTTGTACTTATGTCAAAGAACCCTAAGGGACCATGTCCCTATTGTGTTCCTCTTTATAATAATTGCGGACAGTCACTGACTTGTACTTCTGTCGGAGAACCTTAAGGGACCAGATCACCAGGTCCCTGTTGTGTTCCTCCTTGTGGTTGTTCATTCATTTGTTGGAGACCAGACTGGACATTATTCATTTGAAATGTATACCGCGTGGTCAGGTTCTCTATCTGGTTCTTCAATAAGTTTGTTAGATCATCAAAACATAAGAAGCATAAGGCAAAGACATTGAAAACCCATCAATTTCCCCCTTTTTGACGATGACAAACTGAGGCATTGATAGTATTTGTTTAGAACGGAAATAGCCAAATAGGTCAGAAATTCCAAAAACATTTTGCTTTTGATTTCCCCTTAATTAGATCCCTCATATTGGAATAAGCAACAAGTTTCTATACAAGTTCTACACAAGTTCCCTAACCCTTTCTACACAATTCCCCTGTCTCCTTGACCTTTTTCTACATAATTCCCCATGTCTCTCTGACCTTTTCCCCCCTTTTGGCATCATTAAAAAGAAACACAGGCAAGCAATCAGCATAAAGAAGTCTAACACAGCCAACTCATGCCACATATGTGCACACGGCATGACAGAAAAGAGAAACCAGAGGAAAACAACATGTACATGCGAAAAAGAGAAGATGTGTCATTAATATTAACAATGTACTGAGCAAAATAAGAGCAGTAGTGGTGAAATCCAGCATGCATATCACAAAAACAAGGCAAACAAAAGAGAAACAACAGCCACAAAACATTAGAGCCAGAAATTAGTTGGTCACTAAGAGAATCCTAGGGGACACTAAGAGAGGGAGACTTGGAAGAGGAGGCAGTAATAGTTTTGAGAACCAGGTCCAGTCGAGCATTTGCAGATAGTTGTTCTTCAAGTAATTGTGCCCGAAGTTTATCATTTTCCTTTATCAGTCGGGCAACTTCTTCATTAATAGAATCAGGTCTTTTAACTGCTTAACTGAGCTAAGTTTCCAGTATGGCATTTTGAGCCCTCAACCTTCTGATCTCTTCAGAAGCTACATTTTGAGCGTTGATCAGCTGAGAAATGGTCGAGATGCTTCCACCAACTCTTTCTACACGTTCACATTCTTCTAAAGTGGTCTTAGAGAATGTTTGCTTGCGTGTGCCCACTCTGGGATTTCCCAAGGGGACCTTGTAGAATCTGAACACCTGAGTGAGGAGAAAGCCATATGGTAGCCCATGATTCTCACCTTTAAAGTTTGCCACCTTTTGCATATTATATATCATGATTGTTGGCAGATTGATTGGGATAAACTCATCAAGCACTTCCATTAAGACCATATCCGATTTTGTAGCAATAGACCGCCTCTTAGAATGAGTTAAGAGTACTTTATTGACCAGTTCAAAGAGAAGTTGATACTCAGGAAGCAATACCTTCTTATGCACTTGTTCCCCCTGCTAAATAGCATGCTCTTTCATGATGGCTCTCCTGAAGTTTACACCACATACACCCTTGACCTAGGACATCCCTTCACATGGAATTTTGAGAACCTTTCCCAATGCTGAAGCGTCGAGTACAATGTCTACTCCATTTACTAGCGCACAAATGTGATCCCTCTCAACAGTGAAGAGAGATGCGTAAAAAGATTGTCAATCTCCAGAATTTGTCTCATACCAGCCATCTCAGAAATTGCTGGGCCAAATGTACGACCCCACAAGACTTTCTGTTCTGCTGCCAAAGACTATTATCATTGGGAATGGTCCTCAGAGCACCAGGTTCTTTAACAGTTTCCCTTTTTTATTTGCTAGACCCTTCAACAGACTTTCCTTTCCAACTTACTAACCCCATGGTATCATATTCAGACATGGCTTGCTCAACTTGACTCTTTTTAGACTTGTCGCTGCCCTTCACGGATACACTATTTTGTTTCTCAATGGTTTCATCGGAAGCTTTATCCATAGAATTTTGAGCTTTCATATATTGTTGCACTAAGGAACCAGGTTCCTTTGGAGCATTTTTGTCAATCCTACTTTCTAGAACACTCTTGTCAGTAACAAATTCCCTTTGA